CTATCCCTCCCCTCCAGCGTATCTACCACTCCTCCCAGTTTAGTATCATCCGCAAATTTGCTGAGAGTGCAATCCACACCATCCTCCAGATCATTTATGAAGATATTGAACAAAACCGGCCCCAGGACCGACCCTTGGGGTACTCCACTTGATACCGGCTGCCAACTAGATAAATTTTGGGACCCTTGTATATGACAGGAGCTATTAATATATATCACTCTCTACACTATTAACTAAACCAGCAGGTAGTTACATAGTAACTATAGTTCACTATTAACCAAACAATTAAGTATATATTCCTGTTTTTGTTCTGTCCTGTAGCTCTGAAGTTACTATGTAAGTCAAGTAACTATGTATGCAATTATTTTTACATGCAGTCCTTTCACAGGCTTGAGTGGTATGGCAGGATCAGACCAACAGCAGCCAAGCTAGCAGTACCGCTTCTGTTTATCAATGTCTAATGCAACAGAACTACGACAAAGAAACTTCTTGCCACAGACCAAATTCTACAATGAACTGACCTCCCAGAACCCCACTGAAGTCAGTTGGAGTTATAAGAGCCCTGTACCTCTACAGTTTAGGTGTCCTATTTGTACCAATGACCACACAACACAAAACAGTCCTCATAGGGTTATTATAAATTGTCATAAATATAGAGGAAAGAGTCACATAAAATCCCCCCTTGGTAGCTGTACTGAATTGCCTTACCTGTAAGGGGTTAAACAGTTCAAATAACCTAGTTAGCACCTGACCAGAAGGACCAATGAGGAAAGAAGATACTTTCAAATCTGGGGTGAAGGATTAGTTTGTTCCCTCTCCAGATGGAGAGAGAAGCCAAACAGTACAACATCTCCTGAAAATATACCTGGAATAATCCATTTAAAATCACAAAAATTGTAAGTAGGGCAAGGAAATGCATTAGGTTATCTTTTGTTTTAGCTTGTGAATTTTTCCTATGCTACAGAGATAGTTTTATTCCTGTTTTTGTAACTGTGAAGCTGAGCCCAGAGGGGAATCCTCTGTGTTTTAAATCTTTTTATTATCCTGTAAAAGTTACCTTCCATCCAAATTTTGCAGGTGTGATTCTTTTACTTTTTTCTTTATAATAAAGTTCTTCTTTTAAGAACCTGATTGATTTTCAGTGTCCTAAAAACAAGGGGTCTGGTCTGTACTCACATTGCTAAGGCAATTGGTTGGTATATTATTCTCAAGCCTCCCCAGGAAAGGGGGTGAAGGGGCCAGGGGGCATATTTTGCGGGGATAGGAATTCCAAGTGACCCTTCCCTCAATTTTTGTGTAAATCACTTGGTGGTGGTAGCAATACTAAGGACAAGGAAAGGAATTTGTGCCTTGGGGAAGTTTTAACCTAAGCTGGTAGAATATAAGTTTAGGGAGTCTTTCATGTGGGTCCCCACAGCTGTACCCCAGGGTTCAGAGTGCGGGGGGGGGGGAAACCCAGATATAAACCTAGAAACTCTGCATCAGTTTTAAACACTTGGTGACTAGAACAACATCCCACCAGTTCAGAAACTTTGGGTGATGGAGTCAAATAAAGGAACCGTGTATGCAGTTAGCAGGGTGGAAATGTCCTGTTGCCTTTGGGATTGGAATTAAATTGCAACTGGAAAGCCTCAGTGCATTTACCAATTCAAGCTCAACCAAGAACGGTTTGGAAAAATTCAGGAAGGGCTTGTCTATATGGGGGATATTTGCAACAACAGACACACACTGATGTTGTTACACTCTCCAAACACCTAGTGTAGCTGTGCCATACCAGTGTAAGAAGTTTGAGAGTAGGTAAGCCACACTGCTGCAAGGTAAGCCACGCTGTAGCATGTCTACACTACTGCTTTACATCATTGCAGCTACATGGTGCGAATACTGACAAGCTCTAAGAAGACTGGACACAAATCAGGAACAGAACAAACACGGACAGCCTTAAAGATAACAAATAAAGATGGAGGTCTTTTTATCCAGCAAGCACCAGGTGCAGGGTTCACTGTCTCCCCTGCTACAGCAGCTAGTATAATTTACACAAAAAGCAGCATGAGGGGAAAAAATGAAGGTCAGATCTAATAAACCATCCCCCCACTCTGAGCCCCATCCTGCACATACTGTGCTCAATTGGAGTTTGTGCCTTAGCTCCCTCCTTTGTAAAAGGGGAAAGATTATGCCTCTTGGGGAGCAGGGTAGATTAACTGACATTTGCTGAGCACTTTTAAAATGTAAAGTGTTGAGGGGAAATGTACGAGCCGTATCTCAAGCATTGGGGACAAGTTAGGTGGTGACAGAAAGTCGTCACTGAATGATTGTCTGGTGACCTGGGTAAAAATGAGTTTGTTGGGTCTTAGTCCAATTCCTAGGGGACATCACACAAAAACACCATCACAAGAGAAACCTTCCAAATAGAGGACAAGGACAGCCTGGGCCCACAAGGAGTGCATTTCTCTGTCACACTGAGGGTGCCCCTTTGGAACAGGGCTAAAGTAAACTGGCCAGTGGAAGCTTTGCATTGTTGTTTCCTGGGCTGTACCTGTTCTGGGAACAAAGACCCCCAGCCTCCAGGACTGTCACTTTGGCACCTTCCACCAGCATGCTATTCACTCTGGGATGGAGGGGAAGGGGAACGATAACAATGATCATTTGAAGAGATACTTAATTTACCCCATAATTTATCTATAAGATGAGGTGCTTTCTTAACTTGTTTTGCAGCAGATTCTTAAATCCTTTTTGTTCGCTGAACAAACCCTCACCACGTCCTGGATTTGTGTCTTGGAACTGAAAAGTGAACATAGATATGTCCCCTCCAGGAAAGTCAGTGCCTGGTGTTCTGTTCCTATCACCAGTCTGAAACAGTGCAGCCTTCTGCAGCTAGCGTGTGATGGCAGCACAGCTACTCACAAACCCAGAGATGAAAGGAGTTGGGGTAAATGGCCTCTTTTAATCCCAGCAATTCAGAGGAAAAGGGGGGCAGGGGAAAGGATGTAGTGTTATCACTCAGCCTAAGATGCCTCTTGAGAGACTCTGCCTTTTATAGGAGACAGCAGAATCTGGACCTGGATTTGGAAGAAAGACATGGCTGAACAGCCACTGTCCTGAGCCTGAGAAATGGGGAAGGATGCTGCCACTGAGCCATGTACCCCAGAAACACCACAGAGTTCATTTCCCTGCTGTGTATTTTCAATGCTGTTTTTAGAGATGAGGCTAAAGTGCTAGACTGAAGCTTCACTAAACAGATTTATTTCAGGAGCTGGAACAGCGCTGGGAATTTGTCAAAGAAAAACACCCAGGTTTCTGGTAATTGATTATTTCTTTTAATTTAGACTCCAGTGAGACTGTCTGCATGCCTGAACCTGTTCTTGGGGTAGAATTGTGACTCTTCCTTGTGCATGGATGTTGTCTGGTTGTCTGCACAGAAAGCAGTCATTGGAGTTTACTGCCACAGTGAGAAAAGCTCTCCGGCTCTCTCACAAGGTGTGTTGCTAGATATTGTGATGGTGTCAAATGCTTAGTGACAGGGAAGCATAAGTCTGTGCCCCAGAGCCATTCCCTCACCTATTAGATTGTGTATGTGATTTTATACTTGTGCTAGGGTCAATTAGTTCCTACATTTTGAATTAATTTTTAAAAACAGCTGTTCCAGTGCTTACAAAAGCAGAAGGGAGCAGTCCAATAGCAAGCTTCCGTACACATCTTCGCTGATGCCTCTCAACGCTGACCCACGGCACCAACTGCTTTTTCAGTGCTGAGTGCCCAAGACAGCAATTTTGATGCACTTTAATCCTTTCCTGCAGCACCCCTCACAATTTCACTCCTCCAATCCCCTTTACTGTAGCAATGCACCTCACTCCTGACTTGCATCCTGTCCACCTCAATTTCTCTCCTCACACTTATCCAGCCCTGAGCACCACAGATGTCCAAATTCTGGTGTGGTTCAGTGATATGTCTTATGTTCTCTCCACAGCTCCCTAGAAGCAGGGCCAAATCTGATTTCACTTAGGATCAATGCCACATTTGAACTATGGTCCCATATGAAAAAGTCCCTTTGCTGTAGCTCCCCAGGCCTCCTCAAATCAAACCTTCATTGGGCAAACTATAGAGACAGGCTCTGACCTCCAGCTCCCTTAACTGTATTATTAACATTTCGTAATTAGGAAGTTTGAACAGCCTGAGGCTTGTCTACCAGGCTCTAAGAGATGGGAGAGATGCTCATATGGGAGCGAACAATCAGCCTAACAGCACTTCAAGAAAGTGGAAGAAGAAAGCAAATAATTCCCAACACTTGGGTTTGCTTTTCCCTTTGCAGAGCTTGTCTAAATGCTCCCAGCGCAAATACTGTGGTGTCTGCAACTGATGGAAATTCTAAAAAACCTGCATTCTTTCTCTCTCTCAAAAAAAAATAAAATAAAATAAAAAAATCCTCAGTCCCACAGATTCATTCCTGGCTGATCTTCACCCCTAGCAAAATCTTTCACTCTCCTACCTTGAGAGAAATCTGTGTATCCAGAGTGCCCTGCAGCTTCTTGATCTACTAAATGGAATCGCATTAAATATATTTATAAAAAAAACTTAGCATGTCTGTAGCACTGACCAATTTACTTGTCAAAAGGAGAAAAAGGTCTGAACATAGAATAGTCATTCAATAATTATATAATAATTATTCTAAGAATACTTATTAGACCTTCCCAGTTTTGCTAACTTAAAAAAAATGGGCCAGTAAAAGTTTCCTCACCAATCATCTAATTTCTTGTTTTATTACTTGCTTTATGTTAAGGTTTTTTGGTTTTTTTAAGAAGTCATCTAGCTAAATTCTTATACAGTATATTCTTTAAGATATGTAGTGAAAGACCCTTTTGACAATGTTTGACAATGTCCTTCCCGCCTCCAAAAAGGCTATTATTGTTTTAGGGTTAGCTCAACATTTTAAAGCCCATATATCCACTAAAGGGTGAGAAGGCAGAAATAGGAATAGTTATCCCCAATAAATATTCGCCAAAATGCACTATGCAAATATATTGAGTTTTATTTCTCTTTTATGGAAATAATAACAGACATTCAGGTAGAAAGATATTAAATTAATGCAGTCAACAATTTAAATTCAAAAATAAATATAAAGTCCAGCAGCTCACTGCATCCAAAACAGCTCAGATTTCTTCTAACAAATAGAAAAGTTTTTTTTGTTTAAATCAGAAGTTTCATACAACTTAATAGAAACAAACATAAAAGTGCTTTCTTAGAAAACATCCTGACCTTACTTGCAAATTGCTCTTGAATCTATCCCACTCCAACTGGTTCTTTATCAGGAGGATAATTTAAAAGGAAATTCACCCTCCTCCCTCTTAAATAAAGCCTTCATCATGGTCCCTTCAAAGTCCCCCCTTGCCATGCTGACTGACAGTTAGGATCTAATCTATAATAGAAAAGAGAGTGTCCAATGGCCATTATTTGGAAAGCAATTCTTGGTAGCAAGGATCTCCACACATAGTCTCCCTTGAAAAATATAACTCTATAAAGTTCTTGCCCTTATGTCTGGCGGCTGCAGGCTTCACTATGAAGCACAGTCCCTTCTCTCTGTGTCCATTGCGCTTGCGAAGCTGCTGTGACGGGTGATCACTGAACCCCAATGGTCCCTTCACAGGGCAGAGTCAGAGTCACTAGAGTCCAAACTGTTCCGCAGCTTGCAGCTGCTGAGCTTCTCCCGCTGCAGGCTCAGGTTCTGGGTGCTCCTCCTCAGGCACTCCAGGGACTGCAGGAAGGATTTCTTGGCTTTCTCCTCCTCCATGGGGGAGACCCCTTCCTCCTCCACCTCCTGGATCTCATCGAAAGTCACCGGCTGGGTCTTGAAGCGGGACTGTCGCGGTCTCCTCAGCTTGCCCTTGGGGATCTTGGCGGGGCGGATGGGCTGAGGGTATTCCTCGGCGATGCACACGAAATGAGGCATGACCGCTTGGTAGCTGGAGCAGATGCCCATGAGCTCGGCTTGCTTGGCTGCCATCATGTTAGCCCCTCTGCTGCGGCTCTGCAAAACGTGCGCTCGGCAGAGGCAAGAGGAGCAGGCGGCCGTTGGCGAGTGCGCGGTCCCAGGCACCACGGGGATGGGCGCGGGCTCCGAACCGAGACAGAGCCCGGGAGCAGAGCGGGGGCGCGCCGGGCTGCGCTCAATCCTTCCCCTCAGCCCAAGGCAGGCCGGGCTCGCCGACAGACAGACAGACAGACAGCTCCCTCCCCAGGCTGGCGGCGGAGTCTTGCTCGGGCGGGCTGCGCTCGCTGCCCCGGCTGGGAGCGGGTCCCCCTGCAGAGCGCGGCCAAGGCGGGCGCTGCGGCCAGAGGCTCGCTCCGGTGCTCCGCGAAAAGCTGCTGCTGCTGCCTGTGTCGTCCCCGGCGCTATATAGCCCCCTGCAGCCCACACAGGAGCATGCTCAGATGACACCAACTACCATTTAAAGCCTGCCCGGCCGCTTCCCTTCCGCCTGACGTCTGCGAGTCATTTGTGCTAAAATAACGCCGCCCCCGCGATGCGGAGAGACTGTGCTGGGGAGGCCCCGGGGCTTTCCCGCGCCAGCCGAGGAGCCGCGCGCGGCGCTCGCGGGCTGCAGCCCCTGGCCCGGGGCAGGCTGAGGGGAAAGGCTCCCAGCCTGCGCTTCTCCGAGGGTAACCCACCCACGGGGTGGGGCGGGGCGGCGCGGGTTGACAGCGGGTGGGGTGCCAGGCGCTCCCCGCCACGGGCGGATTCCAGCGCTCACTGGAGGAAGTTTCCCTCTCTCCCCCGTCCTGCTGCTGCTGCCCCTTGGAAACCGCCACGGGCACTTTAGAAACATCATCCCTAGCTGAGCGGGACAGGGGGGAGCAGATCCCCAGCGGGGCTAAATCAGCAGGCTCCGCTACAGTGTGCCCCACTCACACCAGCTGGGGATTTGCCACCACCCTTCCCTGACTGCTGAACACCCACTAACTTCTCAGCCAGGGGACACTCCTGGCCTCCCCACAGTTTTGGGGCCGAGGCAGTGGTTGTGATCATCTTACTGTCTATCTAATGACCCCCCTTATCCAGTTCTGCACCTTAGGGACGTCTGCCAGGCTTCCTTCCACCTGGAGAAAGCCCCCAAACACCTCCCTTGCTGTTTCCCCCTTCCTGCCATATCCTGTAAGTTACCTAGTGCAGGAGTTTTCAACCTTTTTTCCCCCTAAGGCCCCCCAGACAAGTTATAAAAATTCCAGGGTTCACCTGTGCCACAGCAACTGTTTTCTGAATATAAAAGCCATGGCTGGCATTAGGGGTATCAAGCATGGCCACAGGGGCCCCGTGAAGCTAAGTTGCTCAGGCTTTGGCTTTAGCCCCAGGTGGCAGGGCTCACGGCCCCAGGCTTCAGCTCCTCACAATGCGTCTTTGAGTCTAACACGGGCCCTGCTTGGTGGACCCCCCTGAAACCATCTTGCAGCCCCCTCAGGGGGCCCTGGACCCTTGGTTGAGAACCGCTGACCTAGTATGCAAGCACTGCCTGAGTTGGTACCTGCATCCAGATCAGGTTTCACAGTGGGAGTGGGGTACACAGACTTCACATACCTCCTTTTCCTATTACTGTCCACTTCAGACCTGGGGGCTGAGGCTGCTCAGCTGCTCCTGGCATCTCTTTCCTTTCTCCTTCTATGTTGCAGACAATCTCCAGCTTAGGGCTCAGGCAGCAGAGGTTCTAACAGGCCTCTCTTCACATACATTCTGCCGATAACTCTCTCCCTCTGAAGCACACAGCTTGAAGAGTTTGTGTTAGTCCCTCACAGCAAACATGACCTCCATCCTTCTGTGAATTCTGTCTTGCTGACTCCTGTATGAAGAGAGTAGAGGGCTTCTGGGAAGGAAAGAGACAGCATTAGCTTGGCAGCGGTACCCTTAAGCCTTTCTTTGGATGTTGATATTACCTGTCCTGAAATGCCTGGTAATTGAGGCTTGACTAGCATGTGGGGAGTGGGCTTGGTATACAGGCTCGGGGATGCTTTTAGTGCTGGAAGAACAACTATGCTGATAGTCACATGTTTGACTTTCACTTCACAGGTTTTGGGTGGGGGGGAGGGAAGGGATTATACAGCTGTTTCTCTGGCTGAAAAAATATTGAAATCAGGAACAGGATTGTAATACCCCTTAGTTAGTGGCAAGGATTCCTGCTGTCTGGATAAGAAGCAACTTGCTCCTTTGCCCACCCCTCTCCCCCCATCACCACCACATATTCAGAGGGGACTGAGCTCAGATCAGATATGGGATGTAATACCCTAATCTCTCAATCCTCCAGAGTGACTCGGCTGAGAATGTCAAGTTAAGCACTCCAGGGTTAGGGAATAAAAGTCTTCTCAGCAACAAAACAAATGAACTATGTAGGAGAGACAGCACGGTCTCAGAATTAAATCAGGAGGTGGGGAGTCAGGACTCAGATCCATTTCCCAGCTCTGCCACTTTTGACTCACTGTGTGATGGAAGACAAGTCACCAAGCCTCTCTGTGCATCTGTTTCCCCGTTTGTAAAAGGGGAGTTATGAGATTTCATTAATGCTCATAAAGTGCTGTGCTCAGACGGAAGGACAAAAATACAAGGACAAAAATATTAGTCTATTATTTTAAATGTCTGGTGTGACACTGCACCCCACATTCTTCACAATTATATTATTATGATATGATTATGACATAATTATAATGTATTTTATGCCAGATAAATCATGTGAGGTGTCACTGGAAAAGTTATGATTTGCTGAATATGAGTACCTATTTGTATCCATATATCATTTTTGTATCTGTATTTCAAATGTAGTTACACCTAGGTAATGCCCACTAGACAAGATGCTTTCAGTCTAGATAGTTGGTGGGGAAGGGCCTATTCAGGGCAATGGTCCATTAGGAAAAAACAATAGGCCTTAGGAGAAGCTTATCTCCCACCTGGGGAGCCTTCCTGAAAATGCTATAGATAGCCACCAAGTAATGGCTGCTATGACTCTACAAAGACATGTGATGAGACCACATGTCTCTAGACTCCATCTTGGGCTGTCAGTATTTTTCCACAGACCAGGCTGGGAACCAAGCTTTGGGAAAAAGGGTTACCGCCATATGCAAAAGCTATATTAGGCAGGGAGTGACATCATCTGGTGTACTTCGCTCCCCACACAAGAAGACTCCTGGAAACATGTGGGGAACTGGGGGAAGTGCTGGACCGAGGCTAAAGGGATTTCTAGCCTGTCAATGAAACACCTGGGGATTCCAAGCTGTAAAGCAAGTGCAGCTTGCCCCTTAAGAATCTGCAGCCTGCTTGTATCATCTCTTAGGGTGAGAATCTGCTATTCATATCCAATCTATTTAGTATATTAAGCGTAGTTTGTGTTTTTTGTTTATTTGCTAGGTAATCTGCTTTGATCTCTTTGCTATCACTTATAATCACTTACATCTATCTTTTGTAGTTAATAAACTTGTATTTGCTTTATCTAAACCAGTGAGTTGGAGTGAAGTGTTTATGATAGTGAAGTGTGTGGGAATTATAACTTGGGAGCAAAGGCTGTTGCATATTCCTCTCCACATTGAGGGAGGGGGCAAATTTTATGAGCTTATGCTGTACAGTTCCCTGTGCAGCGCAGTATGATATAATTTTGGGTTTATACTCCAGAGGGAGTGTGTGGCTGAGGAGCTGGGAGTTGCCTTAGCTGTAGCCTTCCTATGCAGGGGCTGGTCAGAGAGCCTGCATGTAACTGCAGCTGGATATGTCCCTACCTGTATGTATGCTGGTGAAAGTGCAGGCTGGAGGACTTTGCAGCTTGTCACAGCAGTACAGTGTGAGAGGGAGCCCAGACTGGTGGGTCGGGGGCTCAGTATTACCCCAGTTCCAGATGCACCCTGGGGGGAACCCATCACATCTAGTACTACAATTATTAAAATAAAACAGGAGCTTGTGAATTAGTTAAGGTCGGAGCCCTGGTTTAAAGATGTACATGCTAAGGATTATCAGAAGTGGAAAAAACCTAAGGGTTAAAGAAAGAGGAAAGGCGTTAGAATGCAGGGGGGGAAGAGCTAGTATGTCAGTTTGTCCCTCTCTAGGATTGATGCAGGATTGTTCCCTACAGTCTGTTCTCAGTTAGCTTTTGTCCAGTGCAGGTCCCATGCTAGGAAAGTTTTCAAAATCCAGTTAGATAGGAAGGGGGAAGGAGGGAGACTGTGTCTTATCAAGAATATTAGGTATTTCAAACTGTGACTAGAAAGGGGAAGAAAACACATTCTTCGGGGCCTTTTAGCAGAGGGTTTGCCCAGCGGGAGGAGCCTCATGTGTTTGTGGCAGAGACAGGCAAGTGCTTCTTGAGAAGCAGAGTGGCATGTGCACAACACGGGTGTCCTGCTCCCACTGCAGCTGCTCAGCACACGGAAAGGCACCTGCTTTTGTGAGGCCACAATCACGTGGGCCTCTTGTTTCCTTTTCATGAGGGTTCAGCCCTTCCCACACCAAACTCCCTAATCAATGGCAAGGACACACACAGATGGGGCTAATGGCCACTTCAGAATTGCTTGGAAAATACAGTTTTAATTAGGGCCATTTCACAAAGCTGGCTAAAACAAACCAAGAGCCCTCTCCTGTGGTTTGGGAGAGAGGCAACTGTGGCCACCCCCTTATTAGCATGTTTCTAGAAGGATGGGTGTTTCGCCGGCTGCCAATTTAAAAGAAAAAGAACCATTAAGAACCCTAGCTTTATAATGTGCCTTGCTGCAATCTTCCAGCTCCTTGGCTCTAAAAAGCAGCATTCAGGCCAGGTTCAACATGAAGCCCTTTTATTGGGAGACAAAATTAGCTTAATAAAGGAACAATTCTCTATTTGGTCAAATTGAGTCATTCCAGTTTGGGAAAGAGGTTGTTTGCATTGTTGATTTTAAATGGCTACATTTCACCTCTAAAATACTCTCTGCACAGTAACGTCTCTCTCTCTCTGAAAGATCCCACTTACAGCACAGTCATCATCCCTGACAACTTGGCTTAGTCAGGACCGAATCACACATTGTGCTACAATCATTCTAGAGGTCAAGAATGCAGCATGGTTTGAAGAATACATTAGTTTGGGCCTGTCTAACCTGCAAGAGCAAACTGTGTTTTAGCCCTTCAGTGACCAGATCCCTCCAACAAAGCCATGTTCCAATTGGAAGGGAGAGTATTTCCCCTTTTAATATGTAAGCAGTGTCAGGATGAGCTCCACCCTGATATCTTGTGGTGAGGTGTGGCAAGTTGTGGAAAAGAACTTCAGGGGCTGATCTCATTTGCATAGGCACACCCACCCCGCCTAGAATGAGGCCATAGCTGCCCAAATGGTCACTTTGGCTGCTGTGGGATCCCCAGTGTCTCTGTTATTGGGGCAGGAAGAATAAATTGTTATTACCCTGATTATGGGAACTG